CAAGAGTTTGTGAAATGAACTTTCGTCGTCAGTAATGCATTCCAACATTCAATAGGTCACATGCACCCTTTTTTTTACACGCCCCCTTTTTCAATAACTTGTAAACTTTTAACAGTAACTCGGGGCCAGCTGTAAAACCTATGCCCTCTTCTAAATTGGGGTATATGGAACTCTTACCACGAAGAGAAGTCTTTGAATTCTCCGGCGGCTGTCCTTTTCTTGGTTGAGGTTGTTTCTCTTAGACTAGCATCAACTGCAGGGGATTTGACTTGATTCCTTGCTTTCAAATATTTCCCTACACCACCACCGCCAGCTCCATCTCCAGCTACTCCGGTGCCTGGGTTACTATACCATGATCCAACCTTGTCCTGAAATGAATGCGAAGATACTCATCTGAGCCTATCAAAAGAATTTTTAAAATAATGATGGAAATACTATACTCCGAAAAAAGGTCATGCATTGTGGAGACGAACATTTTCTTCATCTTCAACATTCTTCTCGTCCTTCTGCTTTTCCTCTTCTTCATCGGGTTCTGAGTATGGATTGACAAATACTGTGACACTTGTTATCTTGATCTCCTCCTGCACAAGTAAGATGAGATGTGTTAGGTTAATCACAGTTGGAAGTAAGTATGGAATATCTAGGGAGATAAATGTTTGAGTAATGTCTCGGAAAGTAACGAATTAATGTTTGGCTAGCATTCAAAAGATACCCATGTATACACTAACATGCTCAATTGCTCACATACACACACAACAGACTTAATTGAACTTTAATTGGAGGATCCTTAGTATTGCCAAAGTAAAAGTAGAAAAAGGATTATAAACACATTCTACGACAGAGACGCACTGGAAAATCATGTTAACCACTAAAAATGACAGGTTTAAAATTACCTAGATAAAACTTATCCAAAACAAATTACCAAGACAATAAAGAACTTACCAGAGGCCGATCATTGTCATCAACAGGAACCTTTTCCATCGCTGCCAAAGTAGTCAAACCACCAACAACGCCACCAAATACTGTATGCTTAAAGTTTAAGTGGTTGGCAGATTTATAGAGAATAAAGAACTGGGAGCCATTAGTGTGGGGGCCACTATTTGCCATACTGACAACACCCCTTCCAGAATGAAGAAACTTGGAGTTAAGTTCATCTTTGAAGGGCTTTCCCCATATAGATTCGCCTCCTCTCCCAGTACCAGTAGGATCACCACCTTGAATCATAAAATTCCTACATTATCACATCTCCAACATGTAAATATGCCAAAAAGTTCAGATTATAATTATTAAACTGCAGTCTAATGTATCACTATACCTTATATTTCTGTGAAAAGCAACTCCATTGTAGTAGCCAGTTTCACAAAGTGTAATGAAATTCTCACACGTCCTTGGAGTAATATCACAATGCAATTCAATATTCAAATCTCCATGTGTTGTATGCAACTGTACATAGCCTTTCTTCTTTGGATTTTTCTCAACCTTGATATATTCATGTTCATTCTTTGTAACAGGATCATAAGATGTAGACGTGAAGGATCGGGATGCAGCACCAGTAGTGTAACGACTCTTTACCTGCAATACCAACTTATGTTAATATTATCATTGACATGCCAAAAATAATTATAAAACTGCCTTCTCTTCAATGCAGATAGCTGAATTCCGATTTAATCATATTTTTAGTTAGAAATTTTCATTGAAACAGCGTATAATGGATTATGGATACCAAGGGATGGATCTAAACATAAATAGTGATCAACACTAACCATCTTTGCATTCACCGGTGCCCTCTCACCCGCCATGTGCATCGCAATTCGAGCAGCAGTTTTTTCAGTTGGTGCAGCTTTCGCAGCAGCTGCACTTCTTCCATGTACTGAAGCAGATGCAGCATCCACAATACTGTATGCCTGAGTAGGTTTCTCCTCCCCTTTGGCATTTGCCTTGGTATCCTCTTTGATGCGTGACCTAGCAGCTAAAATATCGGCAAGTGCAGCCGCCCTTTCTTTCTGTGCCTTGCCACCACCTCCCCCATGAAGTGCAGTTTGCCTTCCTTTCTCAGTTCCAAGCTCCTCCAGCATCTGCTTGATGTCTCCCGACACATTTATGTTATATGCTGGATCTGATTTCATTTTCTGGAGTTCTGGGGAGAATGAAAGTTAATAAAAAGGGCCAGGTTAATCACAGGCAGGATGAGACTAAGAAAAAAGGAAAAATATCTGTAGCTCACCTTCATCATCAACTTTCAGGCTATTTTTCACATGATCAAAATCCAGGAGGACCTTACTATCAAGGGCGCTAGGGTTCTGCAAATCACCACGGAGTTTGAGGAAGTGCATAAAAACGAAATTTAATATCAAGTTTAAGAACAGTTGAAAATGGAAAAACTCTGAAATTCTTATACCTGAATGGTTATAATATCTTCCCTACTAAACGGTTCATCAGTTAGAAGCTCCTTCCAGTTTTTTGTCTTGACATTTAATTCTTTAATTGCCTATGAAATGGAAAAATAAGAAAATCAAGCGTCAAGCTCCAAGTACTTCAAGAAGCAAGAAAATATCTCTAAGAATGGGACCAACCACATGACAAACCTCATAGCAGAAGACGTTTCCAGTGGTCTTTATAGCAACTATGTGAGTGAACTCGGTAAAAACTTTGTTTAGTACAGGGCACTGGAACTCGCCTACAGCAAAGTGAAGAATGTGGTAGGATTATCAACAACAAAAGTGACCTTCGGAAGCAACTCTGAATCACAGACATTAAACTTCAAAACACATCATTTAACTCTGAGTCACACTAGTATGAATCTTTAAAACACATTATTCAACTCTAATCACAATGGCAAAACCTGTACCAGAGCCAAAACAAAGAATTATTTTGACAACCATGCTACCGTAATGACAACCAGGAACATTCTTCAATCATACGATAAAAAAAGGGACTAGGATTTCAAGGCAATAAAATGATAGGTTTCAAAACTATACCAACCTTCAGAATTTTTGTGGAAAATGAGTGGAATTAGATCCTCCTGCTTCAAGGTAGCTCCAGTAACAGGATTTTTACCATACTTTCGGATATAAGGGATGATATTCCTGAAACCGAGTTCCAATATTGAATTGAAGAACAATTAAATTATTTTCACAAAAAGAAAACTAACAAAGCTAATTATTCTGAATCTTAGAAAACTCACATTATCTCGAAGACGCTGCCATCGGCGGTACATACAGGGTCCTCGAAGGGTGTAAATGTAAGCCTGCCATTAAAGTGCAACTGTTAATTGAGAAGGGATGCATGGACAACAAGTAAATAACAATACTGTAAAGGAAAAGAAGGAGCAGTAAGTGGAGATTGCAAAGGAAAGAGGAATTACGCGCAGCAATAGAAAGGAAGTCGTTTGAAAGGGGTTTGAGAGTCCTTAGGTTTGGCACCACCCCATTCGGTGGCCCATTCAGTTTTCGTAATGAACAAACGGTCTTTACTGTGCTGTTTCTTCCCCATCTTCCTCTGTCTCTTCGAGTTTCGAACTCAGAAGCAGGCGTTTCTCTGCAATTAGGGCTCCTAATATGTTCAATTTTTCTTTCGCTTCTGACGCCAATTCAAAATCCAGCCGAGGTTACCGAAAGCTGACTTTGTAGTCGACACGTCGTCTTCCGGATCCAAATATACAACGACACGGCGGCCTAATATTTGATTCGACTTATCAATTTGATTTCTGAAAACATGTATTCTTCTAAATGATTTTTTTTTTTTACAATATTCTTTTAAATGATTTTAACCTAATGATTAAGGGTTGTTTTTTTACTCTAATACATAGGAAAATGACACTCCAACTCATAACTTTTTGTCACTAGTTAATTTATGCTCCGATTAATCATTTTGTTTGGTCATTAAGATGTAAACAATATCTCGACTACTTAAATTTAAAAATCGTACCATTGAATTCTCAAAATTTTAGTCTAGAGTTTTAATTTTAGCTAATTTAACATAAATATAATGTGGTATATTTTATAATAAAAATAGCAGAAATAATAAAAAAAAAGTTTTCTTTTTATAAATAAATCTTAGTCAAATTTTTAGAACTTTTGGTTTGTTTATTTTAAAATTTGTCTAAAATTTTACATAGTTTCTCGAGAGAAAAAATATATATAGTTACTAGAATTTTTTAAACCTTTCTTTAACACAAGTTCATATGAAACTTTTTATTTGTAGAATTTTAACCAACTCTATGGAGTAAATGTTGAAATCAACTTTGAAGGTCATGGTGTATATTCATTATTTATAAAACTTGGTAAAAGTTGAAATCAACCCTGAAGGTCACTAATTGTGCACATTCATTATTTATGAAACTTTCTTAATTCATGATATTTTTTAATTATTGTATATGTAATTTAAAATAAAGTATTTCATTAAGGAAAAATTAAAATGCTAATATAACTTATATCACAAGGGCACCTTAGACTCTCTTCACATCACTAAATAAAAAATTGGCAATGAATACAATCTCAATTAGAATTCATTCAACAAGGAGATACTTTAACCCAAGATTCACCCAATCCTTTGATACCATCAAAATTTGCTAGAGTTCCCACCGTGAAAGGAGCATACACGCATTATAATTTCGCAAAGGCTATTAGAAGAGACCCATCATGGTTTATCAATGCAACTCTTCTTTGAGTCTTCTTTTGTTCAGTGCAATGCTACATCAACGTTTAATTTAAGGTACCATGAAAAAGGAAAGTCCAACGATACGAAAAAGGAGCTCTTTGAGAACCACCTTTTCGTCATTCTCGTATTGCTTTAAACTAGATGCATCTAAAAATTCCTTGAGCAAATTTTTGATCCAATCCACTTTAATCTCTAATATTTGAAATACTCCCTAGAGAAATACATCTTCGCTTATCAAAATACTAGAGTCGAATTTAAACAAATTAATACGAACTTGAAACTTCAAAGGAAAGTAAGGTTTTGGAAAATAATAAGCACACACACATCCTCTTCCTCGTGCTTTTAGCCTTATTCGGAAGCAGATTGCTAAATGACCCAAGAATTGGAAAGCAGAGACTGAAGGAAACGAGATGTTTCCTAGCAGCGAGAAATAAGGGGAGTAATTTACTACATCTCCTGCCAAACGAATAACAAGAAAGTACCACCACCTTCCTCCTGTTAGGCTTGCAGGTACCCTCTCTCATCTAAATATGAAATCATTGTTTCCGCCATGTCATTTGGTGATGAGCAGATCCCTTCTTTGTATTGTAATACAATCTGCCAAACGAAGAGCAGTATGACACATAATTTTCAGATCGAATCTTAAAATAAACACGAAAGCAAGGGGAAAATGCAACCATATAAAGACAGAATGAATGAAAAACAATAATATATCTCTTGTGAGTTCGATCTCCCAACTCCGCCCCACATGTTGTACTCAGAAAAATAGGAAAAAAAAAAAGAAAGAAATAAAACTACAGGAGCGGTTGAAGGGTGTGGAAGGCAGTCAAGCCCCCCCATGTGATGCAATTGTTCTCGGTAATGACAAGGAACATTAGTAAAGCTTAAGTTACTTTGATGATGGATAAATTACTTGAAATTCTTTATCTTTATTTTTTTTAAGCATATGTGGAGGAGGAGATTCGATCTCTCAACTTTATGGTTGGAATCATATGTCTTAACTCATTGAGCTATGCTCTGGTTGGCAGCACTTGAAATTCATTTCATGTTAGTGTACTATTTGTATTAAGTTTGAGGAATGTTATAGTCAATTCATTCAACGGCCGGCAATAGATTGTAACCTTCAAGTAAGTCTTATTTGCATTGAACCGTTAACCGCATCAAAACAAATGTTATACTAAGTACACACCTCGCAATTTAATGGTTGTTCATATGGATCATCTATCCCTGTGAATCCTGAAAATAGCAGGCAAATATCGACTCCAAACTGAGAATTGATATCAGTTGTGATAATATATGAATGCAAAAACGGAAGCACAAAAAATTAGAGAAATTAGAAGCTATATTACAACTACAGCTACAATTCCTTGGAACGGGTCCGTGAAAATTGGCAACTAAAATTCCCACCAAGTAGTCTTGATGAGCCACGACTGCTTATCAACCACATCTTTACAGACAAGATTGGCAGAAATATTTCTAACTGGAAATGGAGAAACGGATGGCAAATTATGGAACAAAAACAGTACCTTGTATCTTTCCAGCTCTAGACAGTTTATACAGACCCTTTGGGTCCCTGGCTTCACATACATTAAGAGGCACATCAAGAAAAACCTGTAAAAAGATGACAGGACTATGATGTCAGCAATGAAGACACGACCCTCTTATCCATGTCCAAACTCTAATGCCTTGTCCTGGTTGTGAACTCTACTGAGAAATGAAGCTATCCCCAGATAACGTGCAACACTAAAATTAGAATAACATACCTCAATGAAATCACCTTCTGCCAACAGAGCACGACAGGCATCTCTGTCCTTCCGGAAAGGGGATATTAAACTAGCTATACAAATAATCCCAGCATCTGCAAAGAGCCTTGCTACTTCACCTGTAGACCATCTAGTTTAATATTCAAAAAATTTGGGTGACAAATAGTCGCTAGAAATTTTCTATCAGATCTAAAAGGACACCCACCAATTCTCCGTATGTTTTCTGCACGATCTTCGGGTTCAAAACTAAGATCACTGTTTAGACCATGCCTAATATTGTCACCATCAAGGATGTAGGTCAGTTTTCTTCTTGCATGTAAGCCTTGGCTTAATGCACATGCCAAAGTGCTTTTTCCTATAATTAGAGTCCTAGGTGAGACAGAGAGAGAGAGAGTAACTACAGTGAAAAGGTTATCCTATACATAAGCATTTTAAACAACATTCCGTTATTTATAACAGAACCAGCACACAAGCTGAAAAACCAGTTTAGTAATCCTAAAGTCTCTATTTCAGGAAAGTTCATATGATAGAAGTCAAGTTGATTGAACATGAGCGTGAAAATAAGTTGGGAACAATAAATTTACTAATACCTTCAAAATATAAACAATAAACATGGCATGGTTGCTACAAATAGCTACATTCTTTTATTTCCTTCTTTCGCAGTTTAATTCGTCCTTCTTTGTTGGTAAACTACTCTATAATTTAGTCTTTTAATCAGGTATATGCTTAATGGGACTCTTTTCTATGCAATGAACAACTAAGTCATGCAACTTGTAAGTAACTTGTAGATTCCATACTTCAAGAAGATAATATCAATACAAATAACATGGGCAATCATAAGAAATACAGGTTCTTTCTTGCATCTCTGGTCAGTGAAGTTAGTTTTACAGGCTTCTGACTAACGAAGGATATGAAATGAGGATAAAAGGGAAATATGAAATCATTACTGAAAATATTGACAGGTATTTGAGATAAAAGTTTCTCAGCGAAATAAAGGCTACAATTTCATAGAAGGAATAATATCCAGTATAATGGTGTTGGTGGTCCTGAAAGTAGAATAACACCAGTCACCAGTTGTGAAAACAAGGACTAACCTGAACCACTGAGACCAGTTATCCATATGACACAGCCTTTTTGTTGAATCAACTTTTCTCTTTGTTGCTTCCCGATGGGACAATCATGCCATACAATATTTGTTGACTTTCCACTAGTTGAGATCTCATGGAAACCATTATCTAATGATTGGATGGTCGGACAAAATTAGAGATCTAGTGTAATTTCAAAGTTCGGTAAACACCAACCATGGCTAATCAAGGCCTAGCAATTCAATCTAAAAAACTATATTTGAAGCAATTTACCAATAAAACAAATTTCGTGTGCATCAGCCTTAGAACTGTGCAAAAAAGATGCCACTTCAGACAGAGTTACTGAATAAGAAAAATGTGCACAATAAACTAGCGCTGATTTCAATGCGTTGAGGACCATGGGAACCCGTGATTCTGTGATTTACCTTTCTCCTAAGGCACAACTACACCTATTGAATATGATTAATTACCCAACTGATGGCACTGATGAGATAGATGGTGAATTAATCGGATGTTTTCTAGGGACAGAAGGCGAAAATGCGAAGTGAAGCAGCAAAATCTTGACACACACGCCTCCAAAATTTTAAAAGATTCGAGGCAGAATGCAATTAATCTTGCACATAAGAGGAATCCACATAATAGTCAGTCGTCACAAGAACAACCAAATAAACAAGATCTACAAGATATAGCTTGTTCCAAAAGTTCAAACCACAACAGTTTCTTTGAAGATAGATTTAAAATTCAATCCGGAAAGACAATTTTAGCATTCTTCGATTTACATGAATTTGTAAGAGTCGTCACAAAGGGCATCCAGAGCGATTTAAAAAGAAGTACCGTGAATCGCAGAGCAATTGTTAGTCGACGCTTTAAAAATACCAGAAGCATCAGCACCGCAGCAGAACCCCCATCCTTGATAACTCCGGTCCAGTCCAATCGCATTGTTCACTGCAACGCTTGCCAGCTTCAACCTCCCCAAAGATGGGAAAATCAACGGCCGGTATTCACAGACGGATGAGGAATAACAAACCAGCGGTCCCGCCGCTCGCAACGTGACCATCTCGGAACTATACAATGAAGCAACATGCGAAAGATCAACAAAAAGCAGAAAAATGCATCAGAAATACAGAACAAAAGATTTTGAAAGAGAGATTCGAAACTCACAAGGTCTCGCTCACGAACCACGGAATTATTAATAAAATATACACATACATACAAGATTAAAAAGAGCGTTGAAAGCGGTTTCTCGATGGAGGTGGTGGATGTAGTTTCGTAAACAATGGATATGGCAGCGACAGCTGAAAAGGCCGAAGAGACGACAGAAAGCGGATGTGGAAAGCAAGGGAGCGTGCGTTGCGTTAGGGAGACTCTGATGTCAATTGAAGATGGAATCCACGCAAGGAAAGCAAAGGAATCAGCTCTAATAACTCTGCTTTTTGGCAAATAAAACGATAACAATGGCGAACGTGCAGTGTCCGTACCATTTATAAATTATTTGATTCGCTTCGCTTCGCTTTGGCTCGATGTGATCGTCGTTCTTCCAATCAATCAATCAATCTAAAACCTGATCTTAATTCTTATGGGTTGATCTTCATCTTGATCTTAATTTAATATTTTTAATCATCTCTGTCTTATCTTTTTTTTTTTTTTTTTATACAATCATCTCTGTCTTATCACACATATATATTTTTTTTTTTCTAAAAGTAATAAAGAACAATAGAGATTCAACTTTAGTTCAAAAACAAAAAATAAAAATTAAATAAACTAAAGATCCAACTTGTCAAAGTCAATTTATAGATATTTAAAATAAGTAATGATCTTCTTCATCTAACATTTTTGTATAATTTTCTACTGTTAATAAACAGTAATAAAGATCCATTCTGCAAAATAATAATAATAATAATAATAATAAAGATCCAACAAGTCATGTTATTTATAAATATTTAAAATCAATAAATATATTGACTTTTTTAATTCAAATCTTGTGAATGTTGATATTGAATTGTGAAACTTCAGATAATAATAGATGTCTTATTTATTAAATTATGTTTAGATAGATAAAGATAAAAGAATTTGAGTTGGATTTTAAGATATTCATTTGGTTTGAATAAAGTTAGATGTTGTTGCGTGAACTTCAACAATTCCTCTTCTTATCTCCAATACGCATGATCACGAATCAAACACCTGCAAAATCGAACAAACTGAATTCCGTCACACGGGTTCGATACCTAAGTCAGAACAATCGGAGAAGTAGAGTATAGATGTCAGGTTCTCATAGCATACCTTTAGGGTTTGGTTCATCTCCCTCTTATAGCAGTCTCATGGAAATTCTAATTGAATCTCAATCTTCAGACATGTTACATGCGTAACTGCGAAACGGTCGTAATTGCAAAACGAGGGTACTGCAAAATGGTTAGGTGGGTCGTTACAGTTCTCGGCCAGAGGCCGAGAAGGTCTCGGCGCCAAGGCACTGCGGTTGGCATGGTGGCGCTAGATCGGTGTCGGGGTGCTAGGTCGGTTGAGATTAATAATCTCAGGCATATTTCATCTTTAACGGTCCGATCTCTCACCTCGTTTGGACCGTTTTGTTCCCTACAACATTAGAGTTAATATGTTATTTTAAAGTGCAATTCATAATTCATTGGATTACCCATATCCTTTTTCTCAACGCCAGACAATTTTGTATTTAGATTTTTAATACTCCTTGTTACTGAGACTTTTTGAAGGAAAATACTTGACTCATTGGTGGTAAGAACCAACTTCACCACCATAAAATATTTAACAATTCATTATTAATAAAAGAATACTTGACGTATTATTAGTAAGAAAATATTTGGCTTCATTACTAGTAAGAACCAATTTATTATTTTTTAAAAAATACTTTCTAAATTTCCATTTTTTTAGTTGTCAAATATTTAATAGTTACAGAGAGAAGCGGATTTTTACTAGGAAAGAGCCGTTTATTAAAGGGGCTTTAATCCATCAAAATCACTTTTCTATTATCCATAGTACTTGGGTTTCGGATAATGGATATTAGAAGATATACACGTAATATTATCCAAGTGAGAAGCACTTGGGTTTGGGATAATGGATATTTCAAGATGGCCACGTAATGTGATTGCTTAGAATGTGCTACTTTGAATGTGGACACGATCATGCCGGAAATCAATGCTCATACTTTTTTTTCTTTTTTTCTTTTTTCTCTATCTATCTATCTTGATAGATGCTCACTTTAGATGTTTTCATTACAAGTTTATACAATGAAAACATTTAAAATGGGTATTAACTTTTTACAGACATTTTTATATATTCATCTTATCGACAAAATAAAAACATATATCAACAACATATATTACTAGAGATGATATCAAAACTAATAATTTTAAATTTATTTTTGTTATAAAATTTCATAAAAGTTTCATAAATATATTTTGACATTGATATTTTATCGATATTTTCCAAAAATTGAGACATCAACTTTTCCTTCAACTAATAAGTTAATGAATTTTGTCCCCAAATGATAGTTTGGATGGCTTAAGGACTCAATATCTTGAGGTCTTGGGTTCAAGCCACTGCAACTCTACCGAATAATGATCCATTACATATGTAACGGGTATGAAGATAGTGTATATCCACCACCAGGTATAGGAGCATAAAGGTCAAAAGGCCGCCGACTCCTAAGTTATAAAAATAAGTTAATAAATTTTAAAAAGTATAGATTATTAAATTTCAATGTTATATTTAATAAATCTTTGAAGTAAAAAAAAAGAAGAATATAATAAACTTTTGAACTTTTAATTACGTGACATTTTTAAAAAGTTAATAATTTTATTAAGCATAAAATAGAAATGTCAAAGACATAGGTTGAAAACTTAAAAAAAAAAAACTTTTAATTATGTGACCCATTAGACCTTTTTAAAAAATTTAGAATTTTATTAAATATAAAATAGAAATGTCAAAGACCTAAGTTCTTAAATTTAAAAAAATCCTATTTAAATATAAAATTAAAAATTTAAGAATTTACTTTTATGTATCGTTTAAATTTATAAACATGTTTAATATAGTATTAAAAGTTTGATGATCTATTCAACACTTTTTTAAATAAAGATATCTATTAGTCAGTAGTTACGAAGAATACGAATGGTGGCATAGTAGGTTTGCAGCTCCAATCATGGAGTGCGTAATTTGTGCTTTCCCCCATTCAGGGACCGGACTTTTCTCCCTCATTTGGGGACGAATCCGCCATGTCAATTATAGTGCGGCCACACCTCTCGAATTTTATGGAGTAATTGTAATTCATAAAATTAATTATAATAGTATAGTCAAAATATTTTATGAAGTATTTTATTAATTAAAAAAAAAACCAACTATAAACTCACAGAACCCGTGATACTCTACTGATTCGACCCCAACATTTACAAAACAAACTGCAAAAAAGAAAGAATAAATTGGAGAACACAATAACAGCTTGCTCTTTGCTAAATGCTAAATGGTAATCCTAACTAACATAAAGTTGATTTCTTCTCATTACAACAATGTCATCGTCTTCGTCTTCGTCTACGTCTTCATCTTCTTCTTCTTCTTCCCCTTCCTCCTCATCCTCATCCTTCCGGCTCTGGCCGGTTTCTCCTCTCGACACCGGCCGAAACGCATTTCTAATCCCTTCAATCAATCTCCGCCCAAAACTCCGGCCTCCACTCGACGACCTGCTATCCGAAACCGGCTTGCACCCACCGCCCACAAATAACTTATCCATCTTAAAATCCGTGCTCAACCGGAAAACAGTGGATGACGTGGACCCCCTCTCCCCACGGGCCACCGCCGCCTTATAATTATTCTCCCCGCCGAAGTGAAAGCTAGCGGAGCGGCCGCCGCCCTCCTCCGTCCACAAACTATTCTGATTCTCGGAGTGGTGGAGTTTGAGCTTCATGGTGGTGAGTTCGTTCTCGAGGGTGCGTATGCGGGAGTTGGTGGCGCGCATTGCGGCCTTCAACTTGGCGGACTCGCGAGCCGCGGCGTCGCGCTTCAGGATTGCGCCCAGCGTGAGGGGGTCTTTTTTGGGAACTGTTTTTGTTATAAGTGGACACGGACGCACCAGGGCGAGTGGGGGCTTGGAGGTGGCGGTAGTGGAGAAGATGGAGTGGCGGGTGTTGAGCTGCTCGATTAGCATGGCTCGGACAATGAATCGGAGTGGCATTAGTGGGTTTTGCACTGCGTGTAGGAGTAGCTTTGGGGATAGCTTGTCGCAGTCTATGAAATTGCATATTAGTACCTTTTGCTCTTCTGTCATCTTTCCGCTATATCCCTGTGCTCAATGAACCAAATAATAATGTTCAAAACATAACCACACGCAAGTTCAAGATTAGATGTTTATACCTGTCCTAACCACTATTAAAACATTAATTCTTTTGAAAAATAATGAATTGACAAATTTTCAAAGATGATAGGACAACAATTCATTGCTAAGTATTTTTCTTAAACTTATACGTTTGTGTCTAGAAAAGATCAGGAATGCCTAATGCATCTCTCTACATGGTTATTTTGAGTTTAGTAAGTTCTCAAATGTATCTCTATTGGTGTAACTTCCACAAATCCGTTAAAGAGCTCGATGATTCGGGCTTGTCACTATAATTCACAAACTTATTTAAAATATAGTAGTCATATTAAATGTAAATTTCAATTTTATAGATTAGATTACACAAAATTAAAAATTGAAGAATCTATTTGAAACTTAAAATTTCCGAAACTATTAAATACTTAATTTGTAAAATTTAAACAGGTTCTATTAGACACCAAATGAAAACTTTCCATTCTAAAATTATAATTCAACAAAAGAAAAAAAATATTATTTAGCTATTGCGCATGATTTTCAATTCAGTCTCTATAAATTTAAAATTTTGTCTTAAGCAATTAAAAAGTTTTATTGGTCAATGATTTATTAGTATTCTAACCTCACCAATCAACATGTCGTAAACCATATAAAAAATGTGAGGCATATTTTATTTAGATGATAACGAACTTTTCTTTTTCGAGTGGAGGGTGGGAATTAAATTTCTACACTCTAGAGAAGATAATGAGGGTCTTGTCCGTGTAACTTAATATTTGTCGCTAATTAAGCTAGCTGATATTTTTATTTGACTGATCATATTATAAGGTATAAAGTAAAAAAACCTAATTCTGTATAGGTCAGGTTGAATATTTTAAACTTATAAGGACCAAATGAAAATGAAGTGCATAGAATAAAGTTGAAATTTTTAAATTTTTAAGTACCAAAATTCAAATTAAATTAGAGGCCGGTTTCTATTAATTAACAAAAAAATAGATGAACCATTTTTCATGGCATTTAAACCGGTGAGAATTGAGAAGGAATGAAACTTACCTTGAGATACAGAAGAGCGATCTTGTAGACTAGGTCGTGGCATTTAAACCTGCGGTTGAGCGACGAAGCCAGAACCAGAAAATTCTCCACCTCCACGGATTTGAAGTCCTGAAAGCAAGTGATATCGCCGTCGCCGCCGCCGCCGCCCCCCTCACCCTCCAAACTCCACGCTTCAAGACACCTACTGCCCAGAAACGCCGTCGTTTCCGCCTCCGGGAGCAACTCCAGGCACGACCGGAACACCACAGACGCGTAGTCCCGGTTCACCGCCACAACTCGCCGGAAGTATTTTTCGGTCACATGCACCAAGTTCGTCTCATCATCCGACATCTCCAGCAACTCCCCCGCCGTTCTTAGTGCCGCCACGTTCAACGGCGTTATAACCATCTCACCTCCGTAGCAAAAATCCGCTACCACACTAAACGTTTCCGCCGTTATTTTCAGCGGTGGGTTCACCGTTACGTCCGACGCAGCGCCCAATTGTCGCTTTAAATACCGGCTTTTGGATGCAAGAGGATCCTAACAATAATATTAAATTACCATAACTGACCCCACATTTGTAATAAATTGCTAATAAGTCCCCCAAAAAATTACTCTATTTATTAGAAGCTAGAAATTCTGTTAAATATGAATTTACAGTTTCACACCTGTCTCAAATTATTTAAAATAATTGTAATAATATATCTAAAAGGAATAATTGTATCAATAAGAAAATGACCTATTTTCAGAGACACGAATTTAATGCTTCAAAACCAAAAGATACCATCCTCTTTACCCTCACTCTCACTTCCCCATCAGAGAAAAAATATCAGTCCTACCTAGAAAATGATATTTAAAATTCATTTAACAGTTCTTAAATCAATTAATTTTCATATTTACCTAACGATAATTTCCATTAGATCTCTCAATATACAATCAAAATTTTGGGTTTAAGGTTAAACCTTACCGACCAGGAAAACTCGTTGATTAAATTAAATTAAGTATCTCTATTTTTATACTTAAAATATAATTATTTAAATGTATATTTCTCTGGATTTTTACTTTATTTAGTTATTCTTTTAAAATGTATTTTACTCCTTCAACACCACCTCAAAAAGAAAATGGTTCAATTTCATTTTCTCCAAAATATATTTTTTCATAAATAAAATAAATGATATTGAAATACTTTACAGGGAGAAAAAAAAATCGGAGTTTAAAAAGAAATAAACGCTTAAAAAGTACTATAATTTTGCACGTCCGTTTACAACCCAAATTTCAGGTAATTACAAGCCAATAATTAAGTTGGATTTGAAATACTTCTTATCCCCATTTTTTTAGAGTGAAATACCTCTTAATCTAACCCAACTTATCAAGACAACCTTAACTTTAACAATTATAATAATTTTATTTTTACAAAATAATAATCATATAAAATGATAATCTCATTTTGTTCTTGTGATCTAAAGATCTTAGCTAAATTTTAAACTTTGTTTTTTTGGGCAAAGTAACAAATAAATACCTTGTGAAGATGAAAACACTTTCCACTAACTCGAATACAAACATCTGTCTTTACCCCAGTCACCTTAGACCTAAATAAAAACAACGAAATTAAAAAATAATAAACCACAAAAAAAAAATCTCTAAAACCGAGAGAGAGATTACCATTCCTCAACCCTAGAATGCAGGTTCAGAGGAGGAGGCGGCGGCGGAGAGAGAGGCGGAGTGAGAGAAGAGGAGGAGGAAAACTGGTAATCTTCTTCATAGATGGTATCGACGGCGCCGAGATTTTTCCAAACGGTAAACTCTTCTATTTCCTTCATAATCTCGATCTTCTCGTCTTCTGAATTTTGGGTCATTATTATATTTTTCTCTGCCATCAGAGCACTGAAGTGAAGAAGGTGAAAATTTCGGACCGTTCTGTGGTAGGATTTAAATGGGTGGAGGTGGAGGGTGTGTGTATTAATGGCCGCATGTGATGCCTCTTAAATGTGGCCCTTAATAACCTCTCTTTACTCTTTTTTTTTTTCTTTTTATTCGTCTAAAATTCAAATATTTTCCAATTCCTATATTAATTTTGAATCTTCTCTCTAGGATTCATTTTGTTTGTCGTGGAACAAAGAAAACCCAAGTGTCTACTCATTTTTTATTGTGTCGAGCAATTTGGAGATAAAAAGATAGTCCATTTATTTATCGACCCATTGCGCCAAATGTTTAACAAGGATCCAAACCCTTTTTTAAAAATTACAGATAGGTGAATTTTGTTTTTTTATTAAGAGTTTGACTCTAATAACATTATTGGTTTCATTTTCTTTATTCGGATGACATGTAGTATATATTTTAATTTAATCATATTCCTTTAACAAAAATTACAAAATTAATTTTTGCACTGATATATATACCATAAGTATTACTAATATTAATTTGTCAAAAATAACATGATTATTTGTTCTTCTAGTATAGTATTTTTAGTTTAACAATCTGCGGTGATGTGAATATTCAAACTTTTAACTTTTTTGTCGAAGATATATGTTTTAATTAATTGAACTATATTCAAGAGTTAGTTTGTTCTCATATATTAGCTGAACATATTATTTTAGTATGTTATATAACCATCCTTCTAAAGCAACAAGCGAGAAAGTTAGTTTTCTTTTTTTTTTAGGATTAGGGCAGCGTTGGAACGTTTTAATATTGGGTTTGAATATTTTAGCATTCAATTTGAGTTTTTTTTTTCCCTTGCGTACTTTGAT